TATAAATGGAAAAAGTACGAAAAAAATATTAAAAATAAAAATAATATCTTCGTGAAAAAATGCGTTTTTAGCACATTTTATGACCCACGACTTTACCCACGACTTTACCCACGACTTTACCCACGACTTTTAACCCACGACACACGACACACGACATATAGGGACACTCGCACAGAGCCATTGATTAACGTTTGAAAGATCGTGATTGATGGCAACTTCTACATCATGAAGAGATTTACCAGATACAGTTAACGTTGTATCGTCGGCAAACATTCTTGATGACGAGTGTTCAAGACTTGTAGGCAGATCGTTTATATAATTTAGAAACAGGAGTGGCCCAAGAATTGAACCTTGGGGGATCCCACAAGTAACTAGACAGTTTTTCTAGACAATACGCCGTTCACAGTACACATTTGAAATCTGTTTTCTAAGTATGATCCTAAAAGATTTAGGGCAGGTTTTTGTAGACCATAAAGGTCAAGTTTCTTAATCAATATATTATATTTATAGTATCAAATGCTTTCTGCAAGTCAAGAAATACTGCAATATTGAATTGACCACGGTCCATATTAATGAACCATTCCTTAGTACTGTCCAAAAGGGCAGAAGCTGTAGAATGGAACTGCCTAAAACCAAATTGATTTTGAGACAACAAATTGTTATAACAACAAAATAATCATATAGTTGACTGTATAGAACTTTTTCAAAAACTTTACTTACTATAGGCAGAATGGAAATTGGGCGATAGTTATTCAACATGTTTCGAGGGCCATTTTTGTGTAAAAGGGATAACTCTCGCTATTTCCACTCTGAAGGAACAGTTTCATTATAGATTGCCGTATTAAAAATTCTTGTCAGTGAATTTGCAATTATTGGCGCAGCAACACGAATAATTTTAGCGGGAATTTTATCAATTCCAGTAGATTTACAAGGATTTAAAGAGGAGAGAAGTTTGTATACTTTGGTTTCAGGCACCGTTTGAAACTTGAAAATACTTGTTGCTTTTGTTATGTAATCCGTGAAATTTCTATCAGTATTACCAATGGTTGTGGCAATTTTTGGACCAATGTCAGTAAAGTAATTATTAAAGCGCTCCGCTAATTCATTTGGACAAGAAATTTGACCATTCTGAGTATGGATACAATTTATTTCGCGACATTCTTGTTTCCGGTTAAGGATTTTATTAACGGTTTTCCAAGCTTTTTTAGGGTCATGTTTGACACTTTCAAATTGTGCTTTATAATATGCTGTTTTTGCTTCTCGCAGTGTACTAGTTATATGGTTTCTAGAGGTTTTATATGCAGTCCAGTAATTTTCTGAATTATATTTAACGGCAAGGAATTTGAGACGATCCCGTTCACGTATTTGTTTTTTAATTGCATTAGTCAGCCAAGGAATATTTGGTATATTTTTTACTCTCTTTTCTCTTATTGGTGCATGCTTGTCTAGAACTGACAAGAAAATAATTTTCGCATCAGGAGGTTCCACTCTGAAGGTAAATACATCTCTTTCAGGATCCCACAAGACTCCCAGAGTCTTGGTTTTAGACGGCTCTTCTTTGTTAATTTCAACAGCAGATAACCGGTCACTCTCGGGGATGCTTGCGACAACTGATGGCTCGTTCGACGACCATTTCCGCAGCCGAAAACCTGCCAGACCCAACAGGTCAGATAACTGGCGTCGCAGATCCTGGGCACTCTCTATAGTCTCGCTTGAATCTAAGACATCGTCAACATACATCGAGTTATCGACCGATTCTGCTGCCGCTGGGAATGTCTCTGTATGTGCTTGAGCATGGGCATGTATTACATACTGTGCGCAGAATGGCGAGGCAGTATTACCAAACAACAGGCGTCGAAACTCGTATACGTCGGGCTCTCTTGAAGGATCGAAATCTCGCCATAAGAATCTGTGGAAGGGACGATCTTTGTCTTGTAGACCAACTTGCAGGAACATTTCAGAAATGTCTGCGCTCAAAGCAACTGGTGCTCGACGAAAGCGGGTGAGAACATCTACTATTTCTCGTTGCAGTTTCGGACCTGGCCGTATGCTGTCATTTAAGCTCTTTCCGTCATGCTTCATTGCCGCGTCGAAGACAACACGAACTTTAGTCGTATCTTTGCTTGGCTTAATGACCGGAAAATGTGGGAGGAACCACTGCTGTTCTACTTCGGACTTGGGTACTTTCTGAATGTAGCCTTTTTTCTCATAGTCCTTGAATACTTTACTGTAGGCTTCCAGGATGCTAGAATCTTTCTTTCTGAGGGATTTCTCTTGATTTTGGAGTCGTAACAACGCCGCTTCGTAATTGTTAGTCAACGAAGGCTCTCCGTCCTTCCAAGGGATTCCTACCTCGTACAGACCATTCTCAAACTTTAGGGATCCAGCTACAGTTGCAATTGCTGCTCTTTCGTCGGCTGTCATCGCCTGTTTCTCAGACGTTTCTTTGATTCCGAGTGCCTCAGAGTGCCTCAAGCTCCCAGAACTTGCGTAGAATGTCGTCCGGTGGTGGTTGCTGGTCTACATGGCAGGTACGGTACGTGCGTGTGAAGTGGGAACGAGAGTCGCGCCGAAACTCGTTGACCAATATTGGCCCAAAACAAACCCAGCCCAAGTTGGTTAGGCGTGCTACGGGATCACCTGGTTGGCTGCCGCGAACTTCTTCTAATACGTAGTGGAATACTGGATTATCGCTGCCAAGCATGACATCAATCTGCTGTCGCCTGGAAACATTGTCGAAAGAGATCTTGTGCAGGTGAGGCCACTTTTCCTTGAGTTCTGACCACTGTATGGCTGGTGTGTCGCTCGCAATGTTGCAATGTTATCTAACACATGTGCTTGAACAGGTGTTGTAAATGACCTATCTAGACTAGTCACATTTAGTTCCACTCGGCGGGATCTTTTCTGGATCTCGATGTCCCCTGTTCCTGCAATCGTAAGGTTTACGTTTTGTCCATGCAACTCAAGCTCTTCTGCTGCTTCCTCTGATACATAGGAACTGGTCGAACAGGGGTCAAGCATTACATTGACCTTTAACTCTCTGTTTCCATTACTAACCAGGGCAGGTATTACCATTAGAGAGACGTTCTCTACTTTAGTTGTATTATGTGTTCTTTCTTGGGGCTGGAAATTGGTTAGTGGTAGATTGTCATCACGTGTCTTATCATTACGAGGAGCCTCTCTTTTTTGGTTCGATTGTCCTGGGGGGACGTATGTCGGTGCATCAGGTCGTAAGTGTCCTCCCACGTCGTCCTTGTGTTTTGGAGGGCTTACATGAAGGTAACTGTTGTGGCCTTTACTCAGGCACCCATCAACACCACATTGTCTCGTTTTGGTGCAATCTTTGCTTCGATGTCCAGCAGCCAGACAACAATAACAGCGTCCAGCCTTGGTAATTAATTCATTTCTCTTTAGGACGGGTAGATCTTTGAAAGCTTTACAAACCCACGGGGAGTGATCCTCTTTACCGTTTGGAACAATACAACATCACGTGGTGAATCTAGTATTGAAGCCTCGAAAGCGTTTCTTCTGTTCAACACGCTTGTCCGTCTTTTTTCCAATGCCATTCGTTTCTTCTTTCGCCTCTTCCATAACTTGCACTCGTACTTCAACCCATTCTTCAAGTGCTTCAAAATTGTCTTCACGCGAGTGGTCCATCAGCCAATATTTGCAAGCTTGCACGTCTTCTTCTGGTAGTTTGTCTTTAGCTGTTAAATTCAAGCTCTGCCGGTCCATGCAATGGTCCTGAGTGGCGATCAATACATGGGCAACAAAGTTCATCACGCAAGACTACCATTCCTCGTACTCTTCCAGATTGAAAAGTTTAAATTTACTGCCAATCTCCTACTGGTTTGAAATTAAAGATCTAACATTTTACTATAAATGCAAATCTGGTGGCTACGAAGTAGATATAGAGCAATATTCCACTCAACCTTCCCTTCACACTACTCGTTTTAGTTCATCCGACCTACGCCGACCTAACCTTTGTAAATCCTCAACCTTCAGATCATCCTACTTTAACAGAATAATACTACTATGGAATAATCTGCCTAGTCATATCAAGTCATCGAACTCTTGCGCTATATTCAAATCCAAACTATATACTCATTATCTTAATAAACTAAACTCGGACTTTGATGTTGAGCATCCAAGGACATGGAAAACTATTCAGTTGCTTGAAATGCCGCTCGAGCAATATCATCTGCTGTTCGTAGCTGGTCTGGTGTTAAATAGCGAGGTTTTTGGGTTTGACTTCCACTACCATCATCACCACCTCGCGCTGACCTAGTTTGCATGTAAGTGGTTAGTGGTTCCAACTAGTGATGATGGTGGTGGTGGTCAAATCTGAACCTCGCAAATAATTTTGATAGTGTAGTGTTTATTCTTGCATGTTTATATTGTAAAATACGTGTTGTTAGGACTAAAGTCTGGTGTAAAATGGCTGGACTCACTTTTGACTTCCATTACCACTATCACTACCTCGCCCTGACCTGGTTTGCATGTAAGTGGTTAGTGGTTTCTAACTAGTGGTGCTGGTGGTGGTAGGGGTCAAAACTGAACCTCACAAATACACAAATAATTTCACAGTAGTGTAGTTATGTATTTATTCTTGCATGTTTTATATAGTATAAAGGCCTGTAAAATCAGTATTTACGTTGTCCAGTTTGCAGTCCGTAATATGTCGTGTTTTAGTGTTAGATGCATGGACTTAATATGGGATTCTAGTTCTGTTTATATAATATGATTGTAAAGTTAATAAAAAAAAATACTCTTTCTAATAGAACTTGAAACTCTTCCATATCTTCCAGATTTCGAGGACGAATTTTCCGGAAATTGCGCAAAGCTGTTAGGTGTTTTATCTGTAAACGTCTCTCTCCTCTGTACTTCTTCTCCAATTTAGCCTTCGCTCTTTCATACGCATTAAGGGAATACCCAAGATCTTTCACCATGGTTAAAGCTTTACCCGACAAACAGCTTGTAGTCTAAGCATTTTTTCTCCGAAGGAAGGAAGGATGGAAGTTCTGTACTGTATCATTATCCGATACTTGCGATCTTCGTTCGGCTTCTTCAGCCCGGGATTTGTTGAGAGCAGCAACTTTCCTTGCATCATCGGTTCGCTGTTTTGTCAGCTGAAGCTCAGCGGTCAGCTTTTGGATCTCTAGCTCCTTTACTCGCTGTTCGTTTTCCATTTGGATTAGCCTTTCACTAGCCTTCTTTGCCTCTTTTTGTTTCTGTTCCACATTTGAGGATTTTTTCGACATAACTGGGGACTGGGGACTAGTTTCTTGTGATCGAAGTGAAGTTAACACTGAGTCAGTTTCTCCATTGCCAAGTCTTTCCTCGAGATGTTGTTCAGCCATTACAATTATTGAATCGACTGAAGACCCGATATCTTCAAGTTCTTTGTCTAAAGTCTCGATAACTGTGTTGGTCTCCTCATTTTCAGCACTCACAGCATAAATCTCTTTTAAGCCAGAAATAATTTTTTCAATAATACTGATCTCGGAATTAACTTTATTAATAGCTCTTCTTATGGCATTTTTACTCGGCAATGGTACACCAGGAAGTTGTTTTTCAATTAGGTCGTTCAATTGTTTCTTAGCTTTTGTCAGCCTGGTTTTAGCCGATTTCCTACAACTTCGTAAAGTTTGAATCTTGGTACTCACTTGTTTGCTTTCTATATTCAATGTATTTTCTTCTTTTTTACTTTCGTGGTCGGCGAGATGAACATTTTGAATACTGTTTACAGCTTCAACACCTTTGTCTGTCTCTTCTCCCGGCAAGTCTTGTTGTTGTCCACTCGTACTAAGCGCCATATTTGCTCGCACATTCACAACAAAAGTCGCGAATTTCTCGTTCTTTTGTCAGCAGATCCGGCTCGAAGGACCAAACTTGTTCCCGATTAATTGAACTGTCTATAAAATGTCTACACGAGATAATTCGCCACTTTATTCCAAGCCTTTAAACACAAAAATAGCCTAAATATTGTCACACTTTTTGTAGTCGAAAAATATAAACTAGAACG